AAATTACACCATGAGGCCATATTACTAGAATCAAATACTTCTTTTATCGGGAGAAATTCAAAAATAGCCAGATTTACAACTGGTCATTCAAAAATAGTTCAGTTTCAAAAGTAATAGAAATTTAGCCACTTTTCATGTAAAGATAAATTTGAGCGAAAACACTGTTCAAAACCCGGAAAATACGCCAGTATATTATACTGGAGTTCCAGCATAAGTATGCTTGAACTCCAGCATATTATACTGGAGTTCTAGGATAAGTATGCTGGAACTCCAGTATAATATGATGGAGTTCCAGCATAAGTACACTAGAACTCCAGCATAATATACTGGAGTTCCAGCAAGTATAATTGTCCAGTATAATATACTGGAGTTTGGATCACTGGTGCTTCAGTCTCCAGTATATTATACTGGAGTCAGCAAAGTATACCGGTCCAACATAATATGCTGGAGTTCATACACAAGTGCACCGAACTCCAGTATATTATGCTGGACCAGTCTTTGTTGCAGCAAAATAGTGGTTATTTTCATTAATTTCGTAAACGCTGACTATTTTTAAATAACCACTTCGAAAACTGGCTATATCGTGCTATTTTTACTCTTTTATCTTCTCATACTACATTCAAGTGGATGGTAAGGGATTGAGAAGTGCACAACATAATACATCAACAATATCATTTGAACAGACTTCTTACTTTTTAAGAAGATGATAAACTGTTAAAAAACAAAAACACAACTTGGTTAAGATTGAACTTAACCAATTCGATAATCCAGCTGCAAGGTCCGCTGCCATGTCCTCTATCAAGATGATATGCTGGCGGGCTTCCATCGAGGCACACTGTTTGATGTCTCATAAACAAATAAATACTTAGTACTCATACAAGTCTGTATGTGATTCTCTTTACTCTGTGTTACTTAATGTATTGTGCAGTGAAGTATTTTACCTACGCCTTGAGCAGTGGCACTGTGAACTATGGTGATGTTGACAATCAGTTCTTTTTGAGCCATAATAGTAGTCAACATTGCTAGCAATGCTAACAAGAAACTGGTTGCCATCCTGCAAAACATTCAAATTATTGAGCAGTTGTTGGTTCGTGCTTATATTGCTTTTTTATTTATTCATGTATTACTATTGTTTATTATGAAACCTCCCACGCTGGTAATAAATAAATGAATCTTTCTTCTAAAGTTTAGAAAGCAGCAGTAAACGAGTTCAATAATATGGATAAATATATATATATATATATATATATATTATTAACGGGTTAATAGATTATCCGTTAAAAAATTGAATAATCCGCCCCCAAACCGATAAGCCATTAATAAAAAGTTTCAATTTTTTCCATGTCCATTAAACCGTTAACCCGATACCAATAAGCCATTAAGCTTCGGTTTCGATTCAATTTTCGGTTCGATTTTGAACATCCCTACCCTCAACACCTCCAATTGCACATACCATAAACTGCACGGCCTTGGATTCTAATAGCTTTTTGGGGGATTTTGCATCTATATCCTGTTTTGGGGTCACAATTGAATGTATACCCACTTCGCAAAAAAAAATTGCAAGCCTACTTACTTTAAGATCAACTTCAAATTTATCGGGTCTGAAGTTAAAAAAAATTAGTCTAAAGTGAAAAAATTGCTTTTCAGATGCACTTTAACGACAAATAGGTTTGAAGTGCAACCAAAGGTTTCATGCACTTAAGGCCAATAAGTTTGAAGTGAAAAGTAAACTTCATATGCACTTAAGGCCAAAAGGTCTGAAGTGCAACAAACGTTTTCATACACTTAAGGCCAATAAGTTTGAAGTAAAAAATTGCACTTCAGATGCACTTAAGGTCAAATAGGTCTGAAGTGCAACCAATGGTTTTATGCACTTGTTAATAAGTCTGAAGTGAAAAATTGCAATTCAGATGCACTTAAGGCCAAAAAGTCTGAAGTACAACTAACGACTTCATGCACTTAAAGCCAAATAGGCATGAAGTGCAAATTGCCCAGAAACAGAAATTTATTTTTTGAATATTAACAATCCAATATACGATTTAATACCAAAGTCTACTCCAAAGGAGCTCAAATTTGAAACATAACCTCCAAATATCATCAAGAACAAACCCCAATCATCAATTTGTCAAAACAACAATAAATCTAACGAACCCATTTTGCAATTAAGAAAAAAAGAAGAAGAAACCCTAAGCAATAATAAAAAAATAAAGTGCCACAACATCTCACCACTCTAAAACATCATAAACTACCTTAAAATATGTTCACAAACACCATATAAAATCAATGTTACCCGAAGAAGAAGAAGAGAAGGAGAATAAGAAGAAAGAGGAAGAAGAAAGAAGAAAGAAGAAAGAAGAAGAAGGAAGATGAGAAAAAGCCTGAAGTTGTTTAGTGGGTACAGGTAAAATAGGGATGACCAAATAGGGCGCATGTGCAATTTTATGCTTTTTTGGATGGTTGTTATATATCGTATAATATTATCAACATCAACATACCCAGTAAAATCCCACCAGTGGGGTCTAGGGAGAGTAGAGTGTACGAAGATCTTACCCCTACCCTGAAAAGGATAGAGAGACTGTTTCCAGGAGACTCTCGGCTCAACAAGAGAGACAATAATATCAAAAAAGAAACAAAAGAAAAGGCATGTAACAACAAAAGATGCCAGAAAGAAAATAACAACAACGAATAAGGGAAAGGACAATAACACAAAACTATGCAACCAACCATGTGAACACAACATAGACCGTTAACAAACCTAAACAGAACTCTATCAGTCTACCCGGTACAAAGAGAGAAGAACTCTCGACTATCCCCTAGCCCACCACCCTAATGCTTGACCTTCACATGTTCTTATCAAGAGTCATGTCCTCGAAAATCTGAAGTCGCGCCATGTCCTGCCTGATCACCTTGCCCCAATACTTCTTTGGCCGCCTTCTGCCTCTTCTCATACCCGCCAAATTCAACCACTCACACCTCCTAACCGGTGCATCTAGGCTTCTCATCCACATATGTGTTCGAACCATCTAACCCGCACTTCCCGCATCTTGTCGTCCACGAGAGCCACGCCCACCCTCTCCCGAATATCTTCATTCCTAATCTTATCCAGCCTAGTGTGCCCACACATCCATCTCAACATCCTCATTTCTGCTACTTTCATCTTCTAGATATGTGAATTCTTAACTGGCCAACACTCAGCTCCATAAAACATGGCTGGTCTAACCACCGCTCTATAGAATTTACCTTTGAGTTTCGGTGGCACATTCTTGTCATACAGGACTCCAGATGCTAGCCTCCATTTCATCCACCCCACCCCAATACGGTGCGTAACATCCCCGTCGATCTCCCCATCTCCCTGGTTAATTGACCCTAAGTACTTAAAACTTTCTCTCTTGAGGATGACCTGTGAGTCAAGCCTGACTTCCATGTCCGCTTCCCCCGTCACGTCGCTGAACTTACATTCCACATATTCCGTCTTAGTCATACTTAACTTGAAACATTTAGACTCCAGGGTCTGCCTCCATACCTCTAGTCTCCCATTAACGCCGTCTCATGTCTCATCAATTAGAACTATATCATCAGCAACCAACATACACCATCGCACCTCTCCTTGGATATGGTGTGTCAGTGCGTCCATCGCTAGAGCAAATAAGAATGGGCTGAGCGTCGATCCTTGGTGTAACCCCATAATAACTGGGAAAGGATCTGAGTCACCTCCTACAGTCCTAACCAGAGTCATAACTCCATCATACATATCCTTTATCACCCTAATGTAAGCCACCGACACACCTTTCACCTCCAGGCACCTCCAAAGGACGTCTCTAGGGACCTTGTCATACGCCTTCTCTAGGTCAATAAACACCATATGCAGATCATTCTTCCTATCCCTGTATAGTTCCACCAACCTCCTAATAAGGTGGATAGCTTCTATGGTAGAATGGCCCGGTATGAACTCGAACTGGTTTTCCGATATAGACACCGCCCTTCTTATCCTCCCTTCCACCACCCTCTCCCAAACTTTCATGGTATGACTTAGTAACTTGATACCCCTATAGTTGTTACAATTCTTGATATCCCCTTTATTCTTGTACACTGGAACCATTGTACTTCACCGCCACTCATCAGGAATCCTCTTTGTCCTGAAGATAACATTAAATAACCTAGTTAGCCACTCCAAGCCTGCTCTACCCGCATATCTCCAAAACTCTACTGGAATCTCATCTGGTCTGGTCGCTTTGCCCCGACTCATCTTACCCATCGCACCCCGACCTCCTCAACCTTAATACGCCTACAATACCTAAAGTCTCGATGACTCTCTGAGTGCCCCAAATGCACTAACACGATGTTTCTATTCCCCTCTTTATTCAGAAGTTTATGAAAGTACAATTGCCATCTTTGCCTAATCTGGGACTCTTCCACCAATATTCGACCATCTTCGTCTTTTATGCACCTCATTCGATCCAGGTCGCGAGCTTTCTTCTCCCTTGCTTTGGCCAACCGAAATAACTTCTTGTCCCCACCTTTGCCCCCAAGTTCCTCATAAAGCCGACCAAAAGCAGCAATCTTGGCCTCTGTGACTGCTAATTTTGCCTCCTTCCTAGCCTCCTTATATCTTTCTCTGTTTACTCTCCTTTGGTCCTCGTCGGTGCTTTCTACTAACTTAATGTAAGCCGCTTTCTTGGCTTCCACTTTACCTTGGACCACGTCATTCCACCACCAGTCGTCTCGGTACCCGCCAGAGTAACCTTTCGAAACTCCCAATACCTCTCTTGCTGCCTCCCTTATACAATTCGTCATCGCCGTCCACATAACGCTAGCGTCCCCACCACTCTTCCATAAACCCGTATTCATCAGCCGCCCCTTAAACTCCTGCGCATTATCCTTAGACAAAGCTCCCCACCTGATCCTCGACTGACCCCTTACAAACCTCTTCTTCCTCTTCAACAAGATACCGACGTCCATCACCAGAAGCCTATGTTGAGTTGCGAGGTTCTCACTCTAGATCACCTTGCAATCCTCGCACAACCCTCTGTCACCCTCCTGAAGAGGAGATAGTCAATCTGAGTCTTAGCCACCATACTCCGGAAAGTAATCAAATGTTCCTCCCTCTTCGGAAACATAGAGTTCACTATCACCAACTCAAAAGCTCTAACGAAATCCAATAGTGAGGTACTACTCCCGTTCCTATCACCAAAGTCGAAGCCACCGTGCACCTCACCATAGCCACCAGTAGACGGCCCAATATGACCATTGAAATCCCCTCCTATGAATACCTTCTCCTTGGGCAGAATACCCCGCACCACCTCATATAGTGCCTCCCAGAAGCGCCTCTTAACCTTCTCGTCCAAGACTGTTTGCGGCGCGTAAGCGCTAATAACATTCAGAGTGCTCCTCCAACTACTACCTTAATCGCCATCAATCTGTCATTCACTCGTCTAACCTCTACCACCGACTCTCTAAGCTCCCTATCCACCAAAATGCCCACTCCGTCCTTGCCCTTCACGACTCCGGAGAACCACAATTTATACCCGTTTACATTTCTCGCCTTCGATCCTACCCACCTAGTCTCCTGCACGCACGCTATATTAGCCCTTCCCTTCTGGAGAATCTTCGCCAGCTCTATAGACTTACCCATCAATGTCCCTATAATATTGTATTGTATTATATTATATCATTTGATGTATATAATGTTTGAATAGATTGTATTGTTTGCCATCATTTCATGATGTGATGCACCAATAATATGAACAATAAATTTATAATATTATAAAGAAAAAGTAAGGTACTAGGTAAAATTATTATATAAAAATGTCAGATGAAGGATAAAATAGAATTATTAAATAATGAGGTAGGACAAGATGAGAGAAAAAAGAAGTTAACTATGTAACCACACCAAATCCATATTGTATAAAGTGACACTTTTCATTGTTAGGTAACAACAAATTTAACACAATACACTAATAATCAAAACAAACATAATATTTAAATTAACAAATACCGTACAATATACAATGGCAACAACCATCCAAATAAGCTGTAAAAGAAGTCACTCGTAATCTTTGATGCATAGTTTAATTTTCTGGTCACTGAAAATCGAGGCTCGCCACCACTCTATAGCTGCTCTCGGCTTCCATTTCCAACTTCTCCGCTACTTCAGGTAACGAAGTCATTTGCAAGCAATTGTTGTTTTAGTATGACGTCATCTCTGAGAACTCACCGGAGAGGTAACAAGGAGAAGAATCGGAGGGTAGGTTATGGGGGAAATTCATGTCAATTCACGGACAGAGCTCGGGGAGAAGCAGTTCGGAGTTGTTGTGAAGGTTGAGGACGACACGGGTAACCGGACTTTCTCGCCGGCGGTAAAATTTTCACCGGTGACTCGATGGAGGAGATGTAGTTGTCAGTCAATTAGGTGGGTGATCTTAGTTCAATTTTGATATCGTTGATGTTAAGTTTGGCAGAAATGTTTGTCCCACATCGGTGGAAAATGAATAGTTGGGGGGATTTTCCCCCTATAAAAGAAGGCCTAATGTTTAGGATTGAAATCACCTCTCATTTGCCTTCTCATCTGTTTAAGACATTTGTATCTTCTCTCTTTAGTATTATTTC